GCTGTGACGAAACCGTGGAGAAGACACGTCACCGTGGAGAGCTGTTAACCAATATGCAAATTAGCCTGCAGTACCACTGCTCTACCCATAGGAGCAGCAAAAAGATGTTTTTAGACCAAATGTTACAGATTTGGACAAATACGCACAAAAACATCAAAATTAGCACAGAAACTATACTATATAACATTTTAGACACATTCTAGACAGTTTKTCAGCTAAAAAAAAAGTTAATTTTGGGATAAGTTATTCTTCAAATGTGAAAAGGGAGGATTTAAAAGTATATACTGCCCCCACGACCKGATTCCAGAACAATCAGAAAATAATAGATGGATTTTATGCATTTAAATGTTTTGTTTTTATCAAAACTAAAAGAAGCTGCTCACCACAATCTCCAATTCCAAAGCTGTTGGCGAGCCCGTTGACGTAGCCATCATTTCCCCAGACCGACACATTAATGAAGAAATCAGGCGAGTCTTTTACAGTAAAGCCAAAAGTGAATCGGATCACCTCAGTGTCTGGAATCAAGGGACACACAAAGGTTTGAGATGAGGTGGAATTTCTTGGTAAACTGAGAGGAAAAATGAGATGAACACCAGCAGAGGGAGCTGATGGACAAGACAAGTATCAGAGCTTAAATCAGAGGAAATGAAACCAACTTCTTCTGTCAGGAAAGCTTTTCACATCAGTTTTTGCGATGATGACTCCTACCACCTTCTAAAAAACAAAACAATGACAAGAAAGATATAAACTTACAATGTTGGGCATTCAAATAACAAAACAACTCTTGTTCAATCACATTTGAACCTGTATATATACTCCATGTTATAAACCACAGCTTCTGATGAAGGATAAAAACATACTGAAGACTAACTGGGTGAAACTCACTGGATGAGAGAAGCTGGGGTGAAGCTCAGAGATGGAGATGCAGTTCAGAGCAGCCATTTCACTTTCTACAGACTGTTTAATGAGATGAATTAAATAAACACAGAAATGCTTAGTTTCACAGTTAGCAAAAAAATAAAGTATTTCACTATGAGAAAAGTAAGCTACGTCTAGGTTTAAGCTATTAGCTAAAGACGAGTGACACGCATAATAAGCTAGCAAACATAACTTTTAAAATCCCAGATCAAATTTGATTTAAAAAGTTTCTAATTTTAAGTAAAGCCAGGGCAAAAACGTCGCTGTACATAAACATTGGACTAGATACGCTTTGCTTTCACCTGCCAAAACTGCGTTTTCCTGACTTTGTCCCGCTTCTCAATCGTCGCACGCGACTTTGGCGTTGCGTTCAAAGCTGTCGGAAAAAATCGTTTTCTCCGTTAAAAAATAAAGTTTTTCTCAAGTTCATTTCAGACGTGTGTACGTAAGCGACCTGGACGTTGCATTCATGACCGTCAGAGAAAATAGTTTTACATCCTTCGCACAGAATTATCGGTAAGAAAGACAGTTCAGATCTGAAAATGTCATACGTGTAAAATTATAGCCCAATTTACCAAACCAGACAGTCAGCAGGTTTTTTTCTAACAGCAGGAGATTAAAACACCGTATTTAGTATTTATTAGAATATTATTAATGTCAGTATAGTCATCATGCATGGTCATGGAACTGATTAGCAGGTTTGTATTATCTCAAAGTGATACTTGAGTATTTTACCAAAAACAGTGGTAAATGATCCTCTATTTGAGCAATACTTGCCACTTTTACTCTTTACTTAAGTATCAAGAGTAAATTTTTAATATAAAATGTATTTAAGTATTAAAAATTATGTAAGCCCATTTCCGCCACCCTGATAAAAAAATAAAACTTGTATCTCATTATTATGACTTAGCTATCTCATAATTATGACTTAGCTATCTCATAATTATGACTTAGCTATCTCATAATTATGACTTAGCTATCTCATAATTATGAGATATCTCATAATTATACTTAGCTATCTCATAATTATGTGATGCTATCTCATAATTATGACTTAGCTATCTCATTATTATGAGATAGTATCTCATAATAATGAGATAGTATCTCATAATTATGACTTAACTATCTCATAATTATGAGATAAGTCATAATGAGATAGTATGTCATAATTATGAGATTTCATAATTATGACTTAGCTATCTCATAATTATGACTTAGTTATCTCATAATTATGAGATAAGTCATAATGAGATAGTATGTCATAATTATGAGATTTCATAATTATGACTTAGCTATCTCATAATTATGACTTAGTTAAGTCATAATTATGAAATC